CCAAGCCCTACACTGTCTCAATGGCTCAGCTGCAACTCCATTTCTGTAGCTGGAAAAGAATTAATATTGGGTGCATGTTATTGCAATTGCCAGGGGTAAATAAAATACTACATAGAGCATGAAGAGGAAGAAATTAGTTTTAGAACAACATTAAACCAGCTTCAAAGTTAAGACTGAATGCAACAATTTGCCAATTTCTGCATGCTCTGAAATACTAAAAAAATCAAGTAAATCTAACCCTAGGTAGAATTTCTTCCTTGAGATTGAGATTGCTCTGTTTCTGGTCTTGCTTGGCATGAGAAAAGTTTATTATTTTGGTTTGCCAGTGTTAAAAACTTTCTGACTATCAATTGAAGCACTTCAAATTTTTACTAGAGAGTAAACATAGCGCACGGTATGTGCAGCACAAATTCTCCGGTCTCTGAAGGGTATGAGTGGCTCTTGCTATCCTCACAAGTATCCTGACATCGGAATGTCATTGCTGACGCATGTTAATTCCAGCTTTTTTGCAAACAGGTGCAAGGGAAGAAATGCACAGAGCAGAATGTGAAGCGCACTGGTGGTATTCATACCATACATAGATGGAACACTCCGGGAGCTGTCGAAACCAGTCCAGGAATTTGCTAATAGAATTACTGCTTAGCCACATGGAAACATTTGCAAATAATATTGTGGTGGAGTCGGCTGGGAATTAAACCTTTTAACAGACTTTAAAATAACAGTGGTTATGTAATTCACAACCAAAATGCTTTGTAGCCGAAACCCTCGTCCACGCCATCGCCACCTCCCGCCTTAATTATTCCCAGAGCCGGATTAACCATTAAGACAAGCAAACCATGTTTTAGTGTCTGTAATCTGAGGGGCCCTCGCATATTGTTGATGTCTTTACCTCCTGGCTGTGCTTCTTTTCCTGTCACTCTCCTCATATGAGACAGCATGTAGAGTGACGGGTGGAGGGGCAAGTATGACTCATACCTCCCGCTCCTCGCTTCTTCCCGTCACTCTCCCGTGAAGGCGTTAACAATATGCGGGGCCCCATCAGACCTTATCTCCGCACCTCGTGAGTGAGAGTGCGGAGGATGACCGCATGGAATTAAAGACTTGGGCTGGTTTAGTTTGATTGGGTTGGGCTATTCTGCCCAAATGTGGGATGGGCTCGGTTCAGTTTGGTTGGTTATAGATTTCATAAGGTTGGCCTTGGTCTCCTCCTCTTTCCCCCCCTATCCCCCAACTACACCCTATCTCACATTCCTCTCCACTCTGCCCTGCTTACCTGTAGTCTCCAGTCTATTTACCATTTAGTTAAAGCTTTGGCACTCAAAGCACGGTTAATCACCCACATTCAAAACAAAAACATACTCCTTTCAAAGCGTTTAATGGTTATTCATTGGAGTTTAATTGGCAGCATTATTAATTTGGTTAAACCTACACAGCCGTGCACTGCAGTTAGTCGGCAGTTGTATGAGAGGAGAGTGCCCTTAGCTGTTTTACTGCAATGCACACTGTGTAATTCACTTCACACGACTTGTCTGTTCTGCTGCCAGTGTCACAGGCAGCCACACCCGGTGTATTTATCTGCGTTAGGCTCACATTTCAAAATGTGGCAGTTGCTCTCTTTATGTTCTTAACATTGCCAGTAACAGTCTGTGAAGGTAAGCACTCATTCTCAAAGATGAGTTTCATCTAAATCTCACTCAGGTCGACAATAATCCAGGATAGATTGAATGCACTTGCAATCCTGTCTATTGAGCACAATTTGACATGTACCTTGTTTTGATCATGTAGTATACATGTTTGCAACTATGAAGTTGCAGTAAAAAGTATTTCGTAAACATTTTTTTTGAGTGCATAGTTCAGAGTTTCCAGATCCCTTAATCTGGCCCTGATTATTCCAATGCCTCCCCGTCAGAGTTGGAGAACTGGGAATACATTTTGTTTTAAAAAAGGAAATATTAAAATGACAAGATTTAAAAGGGAGTCTATAGAGATATTAATTTATTCTGCATTTCAGTGTTGCATTAAAAAAACACTTAACAAAATGTCTTCTGTGCATACATCTTACACTTAATTTGTGCCTTTTTTTAATACAGCAATAACTGGAAAAAGCCTCCAGTCCAAGGTCAGTAAATTTGCCCACTAGGAAGAGAATAGCTCAATAGTTCCTCAGTTTTATTATGTCAGATACCTGCACACTGAGTGTCGTCTGTTGGGTGTTCATAACTTTCCATTTCCAGTGACTTAAGGAAATATAATATTAAAGGGTAGGGCAAAAGAGCAGGGAAATTTAGTGGAGGAACTAGCACAATGCGCTGAATATGTTCTATGATTACTATCAAATGTAGAAGCAAGCAGCCCTGAGACTATCCTGCAGGAAGGGTGCTATCCAAATGCAAGTTGTTGTTTTAGTTCTGGTCTCAGCTCATCAGCCTCACCTTGGTCTAGGTGGGTGTAACCTCTTGAGACCACGTCAATAAAAATTCTACACAAGATATCAGCTTCCAGAGGATATCCAACTAGCAGTTTTCAAGCACAAACACAACACAGAATTAGAGGATAACAAGTACAAGATGCATTTATCAGAGATGCAGAGCAGTGAAGAATGTCAATTTGTTTAGAAGGAGTTAGGCAACACATTATTGTTTGCTTGGAGCTGGTGCTGATTAATTTCTTCAAAAGAGAGCTGGATAAAATATCTGGTTAGGAATGAGATGGAAGATTTTTGGGACATGGTCAGAATCATCAAATATTTCTCCGATTGCTCCTGTGCTGAGTAGAGGACGTCTGTGGAGAGCAGCCAGTCAGGGTTGAGCAGTGGAGATGCGAGGTTAGATACACAAGTTGGAGGTTTGATTGATTACCACTGAGAGTCGGAGGGGAAATTGTAAACAGTTTTCCCTCAAGAGATTAAACAGGTGCATCAAAGGCCACTATAAGAAAGTTTGCATGTGGTCAGAAGGAGCTGGTTTGAGAGGCCAAATGGCCTTTGTTGGATCATGTTTTCTGTTATGTAACAAGGGACAACTCACAAGAAACCACTTAAGCACACATATATTTTCCCTTGATCATGCTTAGAGATTATGGGGCAATTTAGTAGCGAGCTCTTCACTTTTAAGATTGTAGAACCCTCAGGCAGAAGGATCAATAGAATTCACTTACAGCAATATATCAATTGTTCTGCCAACAGCAAATGGCTCCTATTCTTTACTAAAACTTTTTATGTAATAGTGTAACTCAACCTCTTGATAGCATTCTTTATGTTCTTTCACAGAGAAATAAGAGAGGAAGGCAGTAGGACTAAAAGGAGATGGAGAAATGAAGTAAATATGAACCTTTCACTTTGAAAGGATGTCTCAAAGTGCTGTGCCCAGCTGGCTGAGAGCCTAAAGTAGCTGAGGTCAGGAGTGGAAAAGGTAAAAGATGTTGGGGGGGGGGGGGGGGGTGGGTAGGGGGGTAGGTGACTAAGATCAGTGGCAAAAAGAAAATAATTGAAATTAATATGGGCTTTAAAACATAACATTGTTTTTTTTATTTGTTTGGTTTTCAACATGTCATTTAACATCCATACTATTCTTCAGTGCCCTTCATGCCGGGAGGCCCTCTCAGAGGGCTTCACAGAATTTACAGTAAAGTTCAGTGACTGTATATTTTGTAGGCGAATGTGGCAGCCAATCTGTGCATAACTATTGCTTACAAGGCTTTTGTAATACAAATAATTTCTCAATTATCCCAAATCTGATAGCCACTGGAACATCTACCATGTGAAATAATAATAATAATAATAATCCTTGCATTTGATATAGCGCTTTTCACGTCGGGAGGACGTCCCAAAGCGCTTCAAAGAACACACTGTAAAGTGAATTGACTGTATATTTGTGGGCGAACGCGGCAGCCAATTGCGCACAGCAATGTCCCACAAACAGTCGTAGATTGAAAATGACCAATTTATTATTGTTTTTTTGGTTTGGGAGGGATTATTATTAGGCGTGTGGAGTAAGGAAACTTGCCCAAGGTTTCGCCCTGCCTGGAATTGAACTCAGGTCTCCCGCTTGCAAAGCGAGTGCTCTAACCACTGAGCTACAGGACTCCACAAATGCATTGTTCCATGAGACTTGAATGCCTCCACATGAGTGAATGCCAATACAATGGTTGTTTAAAACAATCCAATAATGGTATGATTAATACCTGTCGTGGATGAAAATATTCCTTGCATTAGATGTAACACTTTATCACATGGTCAAAACGTCTCAAAGCACCTCACAGGATTTTATTGTAAAGTGTAGTCAACCTGTATTTGTCGGAAGGTTGAAAGCATATGAAACATATTGGATTTTTAGGCTGCTCTTCACAGCACTCATGAATGATGCTTTAATTCAAGTCAAGTTACTTTTGGATTCAACAACTCACTGCTGCTAAATCTCTTGTTCATCTACTAATCTGTTTATTGACTTCAGATGATTGTTACAGTGGGAGGAGGAAGTAAGTGTTCACATTGTGGAATTAGGCAGATAATTAGTCATCGAATTAGGAGACAAATACTGTAGCAAAGCCTTTTGCCTGTTGAGACAAGCTGCTCACCTATTCTGCTTGGGAATGTTGGGATAAATGCACGTTTCAATTAAAGGCTGGAACAAGGAACTGTAAATCTGTAAATCAATAATTTCCTCCCTCATTAAATTCACCAAAAGCACCATTTAATTGATCATTCACCTCAATGGTTTTGGGGGGGGCATTATTGGGGCAGATTAGCTACTCCATTTACCTACGTAAAAACAATCGCTGCTTCAGGTAACTCCTTGGGTAAAATTCTGAGAAATTGCAATGTAATTGGGGATAAGTGTAGTTCCACTGCACCGGTCTTCCTCCACTACTTCATCAATGGTCATATTTATGTATTTCATGGTTGTTTGTGGGATATTGCTGTGCGCAATAGGACTGCCTCATTTCCCTACATATACAGTCACTCCACTTCACAGCATATCCTATAAATCACTTTCGGTTGTCCTTCAGAGGTGAAAGGCACTATACCAAATGCATATTATTAACTGTGGCTAGTCAGTGGATGTTAGCAGTTGACCATGGGATATGGACTGAGACAGGGGAAAGTCAAGCCCAATCCTATCTTCTCCCGACATCCTCAGCCAAACTCAGTGCAAACTGAATTTTGAATCTGGGACTTTCCCAGCCTCCATGGGTCAGCTACTTGCTGGATAAACTCAGTGAGCCACTGCGGAAACCAAATAAAATTATCTTGGAAGAAATAATGCAACATACTGCATATTTGTGCATTTATTATATACAATATTAAAGCCAAAGTTCAAAAAGCAAAAGAAAAATTTTGGTTGAGATACATAGTTATTCACTTTGTGACATCAAATCCTTTTTTTCCCTCATTGACTACTGTACAAAAACATACCCTTGATACGATCAGTCACCTGTACAGCACTGGCCAGCCATTGCCTTCTCCTCTATAACAATAGTTTTGTTCATAAGTGTACCATCAATACAAACATTTTTACAAATCATCCAAAGAAAAACCAAAGCGCTGTCTGGAATGAACTCAGCAAAATAATTAAAAGGTAAACATTAGCAAATGTACAATGTTACAGCCAACATCAGCTCTCTGCACCTCTCCTCAATACAATAGTTAAGAAATTCAGATTATTTGTGCAATTGATGTTCTCTCTTAAAATATAACCACTATGTCAGGCAAGCTTTGATATTAGTGAAAGAGCATGCAAATTGTAGCAAATTGGTTAGAAATATCACTTGATATGGCTTCTCAACATGAAAGATGCTATACATGTATAAACCGTATTGTGCTGCATTTGCCTGGTTAGTTTTTTCTAAAGCCTAATCTTGTTTATTCTCTAACAACATCAGAATTACAGTATTAGTAGCTTTTTAAGTCAGTCACCGTTTCCCATCAAATGCCACATGGAATAGGACAATGTCTCTTCATATGCCAAAGATAAGGAGTCAGGGATCATGAAATAACTTATGTTTGATGGATAAAATATATACTTTTTAAATTCTATATTCCTGAAATGACAGGCCAATCCAAGTGCTAGATGACCATCTACTGTATAACTGTAATTTAATAGATGACTGTGTCTGTTTTGAAAACTACTACAGTTCTCAATTTTTGGAAATACTTACTGCACTATATTCTAGGGGTTGGAAATTTAATTATTTTTAGTGAAAATGTTTACTCTGCTGAATCTAATGCTCATTAAGTATGTCTGCATTGGGAAATGGAACACTTTCTCATTTCAGACTGCCATTGCCAGCAACAACACCAGACCAATCAATGCCGGACTTGGGCAGGGTAATTACAGCTTACATCTAATGTAGTTCTTCCCATTTCTGTTTCCAATTCAAAGGTGCTCTTCCTAGTTCCTGCTGAGTTTTAATTACAGAGCACAGCTGAACACAGTGAAGGGTAATATACCCAGTCTGTTCTGGACAAGCACTCCCAGACTAGGTATAAGCCAGCCAGCTGTAGACTAAGAGCTCTATATGTGTTCTACACTTACTATAGGAGAGAAATTCCAACTGGGTTTATGCTTCATGACTCTTTCCTTAGCATTTTACAGCATGCACATTTTGTACCATTATTAAATTCAGTCTTAATTTTGCAGTTAGTTTTCTGTAGACCTTAGAAAAATAAGCCACAAACATAAGACTGAATTTAAGAATTTTCGAAAATATGCATGTTTTTAACGCTAGGCAAAAATTCCAAGTCAAGTCCAAGGAGAATTTCTCTCCTAATATATGTGCCTTATCTCCAGCCCTCATTTCATCGGTCTGTCACACACCAGCTCTCTGAGGCTGACACCCACCTATGGCTAGTTCTGTCCTGTGGACCTGCAGTTGCTAAAAATGTAGTTGAGCTTCTACTTATACTCATTCGACCTAGGATCTTACAGGCAGGAGAGATAACTTTCATCTGATATGTTTCCATCAACCAAATTGGCACCAAATAATTCAGATGAATTGGCTGCTCACCTCACTGTTGTCCTTGATGTGCCTGATGCAAATTAACTGCTGTGATTTCTGACATAACATTCCCTCTATTTCTAATTTTCATATTGTGAAGTGATTCCAGACTCCAGTGCGATAAATGTTTTGTAATACAAATGCAAGTCAGACACTCGTCTGATCAAAGAAAAAGTAAGTTTTTTTTTGATCAGTTGGTTTGACTCAAACCCAAGCTTTTCAGGTGGAAAATGGGAGATTTATTTTGTGGTATTTCTTGATAAAGAAATCCTCCAAAATTAAACCCATTGTATGTCAAACCATCATGCCCCCTCTCACCTGCTTGTTCTGGAGTTGGGACACTTAATAAATCATTTGTTTATGACTCCCTGAACACCTCCCACCCGCATTTTCTGCTTTTAATGTTTTGTTTTCAATAAATATCTAAATATGTAATGCTGTAAGAGTATAAAATTCACAGAGAACAGTGACCATGGCTGAAATGTTCTTGCAATGCTAGCTCAAATGTACAGATAAGTTGCTGGTATAAAACTGCATGTAGATCTCATTATCTGGCACAGTCAGACATCAGCACCTCTTTATTATTCAAGTGTTACATGATGATTAATCATTATTTAAGCAGCGATGGTCTTGTACTTTATGTACTGATGTACAAATTGGCTGGATGATTGACTTACAAACTTGAAGGTCATGACCTTCTGAATACTGCACAAAGGCAAAAAAAAATCCAGCTATTTACCTCCTCTCCACCCCCACTATTTTTAAAGAAAAGAAAATCTCCAATTAGTTATTGAGGCTACAGTTTCAGTTACTAAATTGTTATGCTTATCAAATAAATACTGTTGTGTATGATTTGATTTGGTTGAGTTTTTTTTACAATTTTAAAATTAAGGGCTTTTGTATTTCCTAATGGTGTGCAATCTGTGTTGTATATTTGTCTTAAAATAAAATTGGCATAGCTGATAGCTGAGAAACTTACCTGAAAAAGTGTTGGATTATTTCAGAGCTGTTTATGAAGTACCTATGTCCAGTTACGTGAGCTCAGCTGGGTAGACTGGATTCAGCCTGCATTTTGTAATGAAGACTCAGCTGGACCCACAAACGACACCAATCAGTAATACCAACCAGGCAGAGTACACCAGACGGATAGTTACTGTACACAAGACCGGCGGCGTGCAATACAATGGGCCAGGGAATAACAAACTGTGTCCAGCTGCTGCTTGAGCCAAAGAACATCTGGCTTTGATTTGTTAATTGCCATCAAAAGGGTCTGCAACCTACCAGAAATCTCCATCTTAATTTAAATACTGTACAGTTTTACTGAAAAAATCTCCAGAGTAAATGCACCCACTAGGCCTGGTTCTGATTAAGTGAGGATTTGAACAGCAACTTGTACACTGGAAAACAGAGAATAACTGGACTCTGTGTGAAGACCTGGAACAATTTATAAATATAATTAATATTAATTACTGGTTCATTCCATGATCTGCATAGAAAGTCTAAGCCTGACCTGGATTATTCATCAATAATATGATCTGTATTGACTATCACCATTATTATTATATAGTGCCCCAAAGCAGCCAGTATTTACAAACAAAATCCTGTCATCTTCTTTGTGTATGATATTACCCAACTAGAATTAGTGGAAATTGGCTGTTTATTACATCATGCAGTATTTGTTGTCCTCATCATTACACCATTAGTGGTCAGTAATAGAGAGATAAGCAACAATATGAATGATTCAGTAGGACATGACTTGTGCTTGTGTTTTTGATATCCTGCATTTTTGTTCTTTATCTTTCACTTAACACAATGTACTGCACGTAACACAAATATACTGGAAACATTTCTGTTGTGAGATACTATTATTGTGTATGACTTTCATGCTTGCCTTCAAAATTCCATGATACCCATATTACTTAATTAGTGGCCATCCCAGTCATTGCCATTTGTTTGTACTGATCTTAGAATTCACAGAGAGGACTGAACATTTCATAGTGTACTCCTTAAAAAATATGCCAGTAATATTCTGCTGTTGACAAGAAGCTTGCACTGCACAACTGTGGCAGGCTGTTTTTTTTTCAGTCTACCTTTGTCTTACATCACAAAACCTACACAATTAGATTGCAATCCAATAGAAAAGCAATAGAGTTTCTACTTTTACTGTGTACTGTGTACACATGGTCATTGCTTTCCAAAGAAGTGCAAAAAGAGCCATAAAACACTGATAACTGCTATATACACGTAGAAAATAAGTGCATAGGTATAATGAGACTGATTCAAAATACAGGGTGCTCAGAATATTGTGCTTTTTGTTTCGTATCTTTGAGAATACAGTTCCATAGAAATACATTCCAAAAAACTCACCCACATGACATGGGTCCCCCCTCTCTCCTCATAACATAACCAACTAATTGACATTGTGTTCCACTTGGGAATGTATCCAGACACAAAATTCTTTTCATAATCTGGCATTTCAGAAACCAAAATGAAACCCTCCCAAAACATCCTCTTATCATTTTCCTCAGACTCGCTTTTCATAACCTCCGCAAATCCATACTCTCCACGTTTCTCCAGTCCTTAGTGCAAGCTTCACTCTTTTACAGGCTGAGCAACTCCAAAGTCTCCTTTTAAATGAGGATCTCCACCACATCTCCATCTGGGAAATCGGCTTTGTGGAAAAAACTGCTGTTTGTTCCTCTGCTGGCGTGCATCTTGATATGAAAGCTGGAAACCTCTGTTGTAAAGAAAGCAGCAGTAGTTAAGATTTAGTTCTCTGATATAGGAGCTGTCATTTTCTGGAAAAAAGGTTTCTGGCAAACCTTTTTTCATTTGTTTTGAAAGAGAAAAGGTGTGATGTAAATCGTACTGAAAGCAGTGTGATAAAATCATGTGAGGCCTCTCTTTCATACCAAGCTAAAATGACCTTCACTCAGTCTTTCATGAAGCCAATTTCACTTTAAAGTATATTCCGTGAAGCGCTTTGAGACATCTCGAAGATGTGATAAGGCGCTATATCAAATACAAGGATTATTATTATAATAACTTACATTTAGTTTAGCATCCTTCAAGGTGGAAGGAGGTCTCAAAGTGCATCACAGGATATACTGTCAAGTGTTGTGAATTATGACAATGTCCCTTTCAACATAAAGTACTCAAAGCCACCTCCTCCCCCCCACCAGCTCTTCCCTGTAATGTATAATCTCTCATTGTAATGAGCAGGAATCAGCATCCTTTCTGATCTTTAACATCAATCTTGGCACAATATAGTGGGAATGTTCAGAAATTATTTATTGAGCATTATGCTGTACACATAATGCCTCCCCTCAATGATATCACTTTGTTAAGGAGTTGAATAATGGTAATAATCCTTGCATTTGATATAGTGCCTTATTATGCTGTTGAGATATCTCAAAGCGCTTCACAGAATATATTGTAAAGTGGATTGACTGTGTATTTTATGGGCGAGTTGAGGTAATAAATAAAATGTTAGCACCTTCAGTCATCTTTCCAATTCTCATCCTCTTCAGATCTTCCCACCCCACCCCTAGCTTGGGTGCAGAGCTCTTGAGACCATCTCCCAATGTGAAAGGCGCTATGTAAATGTAAATTGTACTGTAAAAGTATAAAACAATCTCGATGACAAATTCTTATCTTCCTCCCATGTAAAAACAATCTTACTTTCTTACAGTTTGGGATGGATGTCAGGGTTCAATCATCCTCAATAGTACCCAGCCTCATGATCTGCAGTGCCATTTACCTGGCTTCTCTCGATTCCCACGGGCCGATTTAGGCCTCACAACAGGGCTGCTGTTCAGCCTTCCTCTGCTATGGGCCGGTGCGCTGCTCGGACGAATCGGCTCAGGACTCTTTTCCGTCTGAGTGCTATTGTCTTTACTGCCTGTTTTAACATGTGTGGAAATCACTGTGGCTGAGGGTGTGAATACTTGGAGTGAGGAGCGTGAAGAGTTTTCTTGATTGTCTTTCATTTGAAGCAACCCTAGGAAATGAAAGCAGAGAGAGATGAGCATTTCAATGCACTTTGATAGAACACATTATAATCCAGTCTGAATTCATGATGAAGATAATGATCATTTTGTAAAACAGAAATCTTGTAATCAACAGCTTTATGATCGAATTTCCAAAAATACCACTGCTGTCATGAGCAAATCATTCCAACACTGCAACATTACACAAAAAAGTTCTGAATACATTTGTAGCAAATAAAGTGTGGCTCTGTGCTGAGACACAGAGTAATGCTTTGATCAATAACGCTCTCAAGAATGTGTCCACAGAGTAGCCAACATCAGTGAACAGCCCTTAACACAGATCCACAGAAAACGATTCATGTTCCTTTCACATACAAAGATGCAGTAAATCACAAGAAAGCGGGTATAAGCTGGTCTTCAAAATATCACAGTGGAAGAAGATAATGAAATTAATATTTGCATTTGATATGGCACCTTTCACATCTGGAGCACTTTCAAAGCACTTCATTGTAGTGACTGCATATTTTGTAGACAAATGCAGCAGCCAATTACACACAGCATTGTTCAAGACAAGATCACAGGAGAGGTTCAGATAAAGAAAGCCCAGCAAGCCCATTTGATCTCATCCTTCCTCCCATCCTCCCATCACAGCATTAAGTTGTGTGTTAAATGAGTCCAGAGTCCTGGTCTCAACCACCCCTCCTGGTAGCCTACCCCAATCATTAATTAGTCTCTGGATAAAGATGGGATGGGGAACCTCTTTACATGGTCATTTCTCACCACTAACAAAAAGGCTAATATTTAGGTAATTTTAAAATGAGTCCAATGCTTACCCGCACTTCCTTTCCAGTTCTTTTCCTCCTTTTTATCTTCTGCTGGTTGACTGTTGGTCAGCGATGTCTGTCGAGAGTGCAGCCCAGAGCCTCCTGAGATAGAGGAGACTGACCTGGCAGATCGCAGAGACCCCGACTCTATCTTCCCTGGCTCCCTGCGAGAACGCTGCTGTAGCACTTTAATCATGGCGTCCTTCTCAATTAGCTGTGCATGGAGGTTCTTGATTCTGTTAGAGATGCAGTTGAAGCCGGTGACTTCAGATACCCTGCTGGAAATGAAATCGTCTCATTTATATTAAAATAATAAATCCTGTGCTTGATATCGCACCATATCATGTCAGCAAAACATCTCAATGCACTTTACAGGATTTCACTTCGTAATGATCAACTATTTGTAGGTGAATGTGGCAGCCGATTTACACACAGCAATGTCCCATTAACAGCAAGAATTGAATGATCAATATTTTCTGGAAGATTGTTGGCTAGGACACAGGGAGAAACTCCCTTCCCTTCTCTCTTCCAATATTACCATGGGATCTTTAATGTCCATCTGGACTAGCAGACAGATGCTTGGTTTTAACCCTCTTGATAAAGCAGCACAACTCCATCATTGCACTTAAGTATCAGTCTAGTCTATGAGCTCGAGTACCGGTGTGGAATTTCAACCCACAGTGTCTGGCCCAGTGGCATGGGTGCTACTAAATGAGCAGAGATGACACTTGTGCTGTGCTGATAGGGTGATGAGATGGGCAACATCACATTGCAACGAGGGAGCTTCCCCCACTCTCTGGAAGTAAAATGCCTTGACACTAGAAATTTTCCACTGGGTTGAACAAGTGGTAAAATGGAAGAAACGTAGCTATCTTCAAGAGGAAGAAATGTAGCTATCTTCACTATGTCATTCCCCTCTCCGCATTCCAAAGGGACTGCTTCCTCCATGACTTCCTGGTCCACTCCTCCATCACCACTAACACCTACTCTCCTCCCCCTGGCACCTTCACATGCCAGCTCAGAAGATGCAGAACCTGCTAGTCCACCTCCGCCCATACCATTGGCCAGGGTCCCAAACATTGCTTCCGTGTGAGATAGTGACTTACATATATTTCCACTAACGTACGCTGCTCATGATGTTGTCTCCTCTAGATTGCGGAGACCAAACACAGATTGAGTGATCGCTTTGCCGAACACCTCCGTTCCATCCGCAAGTGCAAGCCTGAGCTTCCAGTCGCTTACCACTTTAATTCTCCTTCCCACTCCCACTCTGACCTCTCTGTCCATGGCCTCTTATGCTGATCCAACAAAGCACAACACAAGCTTGAGAAACAGCACCTCATCTACCTCAAAGGCACTTTTGGCCTTAACATTGATTTTAACCACTTCAGATCTTAAACACAACTTCTCTTAGCCTCGCCTCCCCCTTTTCTATAACTATTCATACAACCTCTAGGTCTCAGACACATCTTTTCTTTCTATAATCTCCCAATATTGCCTTCTTTTGTCTTGTTCCATTAACCTCTCTGATCTCATAATTTACTGTCCTCCACCTAATTCTATTCCTTTGTCTTTCTTTCTCCATCCCTTTCTCTGTTTGTCCTTATAAACTGTTCCTTTCCAATAACACCCAGTTCTGACGAAAGGTCATTGACCCGAAACATTATCTCACTTTCCTCTCTCCATAGATGTTGCCTGACCTACTTATGTGTTCCCAGCAATTTGCTTTTTGATTTCAGATTTCCATCTCTTGCAATATTTTTCCCTTGCCCACTTTGTCATTGCTTGTCATTATTGTGTCCGACAGAAGATTGCAGCGTGTTTGATAAATGCAAACTCTGAAAAAAAAATCCAGATAGTTCCAGATAATCAGAAATAAATTTGTGCTGGGAGCTAGCTATTGATGGAATGTTGTTTGAATTAATTATACTAATAATAATCCTTGCATTTAATATAGTGCATTTCACATTGTGAGGATATCTCAAAGCATTTCACAGGATTTACTGTAAGTGACTGTATTTTGTAGGCAAAATGTCTCAAAGCACATCACAGGAACTTATTTAAAAGTGTAGTGACTGTGTATCTGTATGCAAATGCAACAGCCAATTTCTGCACAGCAATGTTCCACAAACAGCCATGAAGTGAGTGAGCAATTTTATCTGGGGGATTGGTAGCCAGGACACCCTGGAGAAACTCGCTTCTCTATTTGAATAATACTATGGGATATTTAGAACACTCGCTTTGCAAGTGAGAGACCTGAGTTCAATTCCAGGCAGGTCAGGGCAAAACCTTGGGTAAGTTTCCTTACTCCACACGCCTAATAATAATCCCTCCAAAACCAAAAACAATAATAAATTAGTCATTTTCAATCTACGACTGTTTGTGGGACATTGCTGTGCGCAATTGGCTGCCGCGTTCGCCCACAAATATACAGTCAATTCCTTTACAGTGTGTTCTGTGAAGCGCTTTGGGATGTCCTCCCGACGTGAAAAGCGCTATATCAAATGCAAGGATTATTATTATTATTATTTAATATCCACCTGAACAAGCAGATTTTGGCTTAACATGTCATCTGAAAATGGTACTTCCAACATCACAGCACTCCTCAAGTACTTTATTGGAGTTTCTACCTGGACTATGAATTCAAAATCGTGACACAAAGCATGTGCAAAGTATGTATACATAACTGGTCTGTACCAACAATATTCACCCAGTAACCTTCAGATTCTGAGGACTACCGACTATTACCAGGGTAACACACCATTAAACACTTATTTGGAAGTGAATTTTCTTTAAAATGTAACTTTTGGTTGTAATTCTACAATGGTTTGTAAACTTATCAACATTAGTTTTTAATTTGTAAGATTTGCAAAATAAGTTGTAAATAGGAATCTTGCAGGCAACAGGATTGACTCAAGCCAACCCTCTGATCTATGCTCTGAAACTAATCTCTGTTTTGACTTAGAAAAGGATGGTTTGCAGCCAGTGGAGGCTTCTGACATCAGACAGGAGATTGGCATCAATCAGCATCTGAGTAGAGTTCCAGAGGGGTAGTCTGAGATACACTGAGGTTTCTTCAAGGTCTGCTATTTGTGAATCCATTAACAATCAGCACATTTTAATCCCCCCAGCCCCATCTCTACCTTTATCTTTAATAATTGGCAATGACCTTCCCCACCACCCACCCATTTACCCCCACTTTGCAATTGGTGGCATTTGACTCCTGAACCTGTGCATGGAAACATGACTGCGTGCAAAATGTCCAAAGATGCACTTTCTTACCTGTGTTCCAAATCTTGAATCCTCCGATTTGTTTCCTCTTCTTCCTTCCACATCCGTGCTTCCAATGAGTTGTCATTGTAGCTGCCATTTGGAGAGTGGCTTATTATAGTAGTGTCCCTAGTGACGGAGACGAACAGTTTAGAAAATTTCCTTTCAGTTTTTCAAGTCTTCAGCTGGCTTATCATCAAGAATTGCTTGCCCTTGATACCCTCAAATTTCCCCCCTCTTTCTCCTAAGGTGTTAACCTAACACTGGGATGAGACTCCAAGGGTAGGTTTTACTCCCTCCCTAGATGGACACTGAGCTCAACTGTAGCAACCAAACCGCTGCCCTACAAAGATCAGCTAATTCAGCACACACGAGGCAATGATCTTGGGACCCTCCAAGCTTATATTTTCACATCAGTTTCACATCACTTAGCAACTGAGAAATCAAAAACAGTTGTAGCAAATCACAGAGCGATATTATTGTTTGATGTGAATAAACACCAGACCACCATTATCTGACATCAAATGTTTAACAGAGAAACAGAGCTGTAACTAAATGTTTAGCTTAAAGGAAAGATTCATTCTGAACTCCTGAGAAACCATCCCGCAGCCAAGGTATAAGGTATCAGGAATATGACTAACTTTAGTATTTGGGAAATAAGAAAGGACAGTGATATATTTTCTGGCAAAGACACAGCTCAGAACAAAATTAGGTGTTACCACAAGAAAATACATGGCCAAAGTAGGTATATGTACCTGGTCTGTACCAACAATGATCCCAGAAATATTGTGGATTTAGGGAAAGAGTAATTACATTGGGACCTTCAGCTCACTGCCCAAGCTAGGGGAGCACTGCAATGTCAGAGGTTCCGTCCTTCAGATGAGACGTTAAACCAAGTCTGTCTGTTCAGGTGGACATTAAAATCATGCGGCCCTACTTATAAAGAGAAGGGAGTTTCTTGTGGTGATCTAATGTCCCAGATAAAACTGGTCATTCAATTCAGGAGTGTTACGGGACATTGACATGTGACAGGTTGTACAGTATGTCCTAGCACCCTGTGATACTCTGTGTGGGTGATTCCATATGAATCTTCAGTAAAAATTCCAATACAGCTGCACGTGGCTCCATTATTTATTCATGATTATGTGTACTTATATCATCCTCAAGGGCTCATGGTTCATTTTTATTTGTAAACATCAGGTTTATGCTTGTAATTCTCCATAGCAAATGTCATTTATTTAGATAACAAGGTGGGGAAAACTGCTGTGCTACTGAGTGGAAGGAAATGGGTTGTTTGTTTTTCCTCTCATAGTGAATTTTTAGCTGAAGCCATTGTCCAAGCATGTTAAGGATTGGCATTCTAGCAGACAGAGTGCCTTCTTTACCAACATCTTTCGGATGAGACGTTAAACCGAGGTCCCATCTCCTTATTCAAGTGGACGTTAAAGATCCCATGGCACGATTTGAAAAAAAGAAGGGAGTTGTTTTTTNACTGGTGTCTTGGCTAACAAATCTCGCAAATTAAATTGGTTACTCACTCTATGGCTGTTTGTGGAACATTGCTGTGCGCAAACCTGGCTGCCGTGCTTCGCCCAGCTCTTTGAGAGGTCGCAACAATCAAAATCAAGGATTATTATTAATATTATTATTAAATCTCTCTTGTGATTCGTGGGAAGTATCAATTTGGAGGGGATTCCCTCCTGGTGCAAGTCCCGGTCACATGTAAAGAATTGAAGGGCATAAAGTGGCAAATCAATTCCAATCAATCGTATAATAGCGACTAGTAAAAGTGAAGCCAGCTGGCATGACTATAACCATCTTCCACACTCTGCCCTTAGGCAGCCCCCACACACACGCTCCCTCTCAGTGTCTGCAGCTTACCTCTGAGCAGCGGCTGTAGCAGCAGCGTCCATGGCAAAATGGCGCATTGCACTTTCTTCCAAGTACTTCTGTTCCCACTTTGTCATGTCAGCCTCCAGGGCCAGGATCCGTTCCTCCTTTTCCCGCAGTAACTCCATAAGTGCTGGTGCGTTGTACTCAGGAACATTAGTCATCTGGGAGCCACCGCGCCGCTAAGTAAAATAAACCATGTTTAGGAATCAAAGTGCACCAATCTGAATACTCAGTTTGGCTTTTTACTTATCATGATTGTTATTTACCTGCTGCACTCGATGAGATTCCAGTTCCCGTTCCAGCCGTGTGCGTAGTCTCCGCTCCAGCTGCTCCCGCTTTTCACAGGCCGCCTGTAACTGCGTCAGGGCCTGCTGCAGTCGCTCCACCTTCTCCACATACACCTGCTTCTTCCGTAGCTGCCGAAAGATAGCAACGTGTGAACACAAAGACTGCGAGGGTGGAAAATAAATTCCAAGGTCCTCCCCAACTCACAACAAGGACCTATCCAATAGTCCAAACCTTCACAAGAGCAAGAATACGTATGACGCAGCACACAGCACGTTCACTTCAAGTATAACAGCATATACATAGGTATACAGCATTGAAAATTACAATCAAGCCAGTCCATGTCTAAAGACTGCATTCCCCCCACGCCTCTCCCCGACTATGGCACAGATTTGGCTCACAGCCAGTGTCAACCGTTGTGGCTGCCAGCATCTGATTCAGTTATTCCAGTATCCTGTGAGCAACACACCAATGTGGCAACTTCAATAGTGGCTAAACTATTATCAATTTGACTCAAGGAGGAGGCAGATTGAAGAAGGAATTAGATAGCTATTTGGTAAGAAACTGATTGAAGGGTATGAGAAATACAGCATGGTGTATGCTTATACATTTGCCTATAAATACAGCCACTACCCTTTACAGAAACTCTGTGAAACAACTTGAGATGTTTTGACGTGCTATGTCAATGCAATAATTTTATTATTTTATATATCATGTCCATCCAGCATATTTCCCCCTGGCCCTGTATATCTCTATATTCATAGAATCCTGGAAATTTACAGTACAGAAGGAGGCCATTCAGCCCATTAAGTCTGCACCAGTTCTCAAGCAAGACACTCAATCAATATTATAAAAATATTTATTCTTGTAATATAAGAGCTGAGAATAAGCACAGCTTTTTATCAGGTGTTCAGCAACTGGTGTTGAAATGCACCAATGCCCTGAAGATCAAACACTAAAAGTAGATTCAAACTCAAAGCCGACGAATGAAGATATTGTCCAAATATACTATTCAACTGCGGCAAAGATCGTGTGGAAATGATTCAGTTCATTTGAATATTATGCAACACCAGTACAAGGATCGAATGTTCTGGTCAGCATATTTATTCTTATTGAAAGAAAGTCTTTGTTTGAAATATCTGCATTGCCGGAGATTGTAAACTGCATCATTGGGAAATATGTCTTGTAAAATGGTATTCTGTATGCAAGTGCTTGCCACAAGAAAGAACTGTATTGTTTTAATTCCAGGAAATGTGCGCAAGCGAATATTCTATATGGCTTACAACAATTGTGAAAGCTCTGTGAACATTCAAATGTTAAATGGATTTGCAAATAGATTTATATTTAGATAAGAAGTCAAGGATCCAATATTTAACTGGTAGAAGGAAACAGATGACATAAGAATTGATCCATTGACTATTGTGCTATTTGTAAATACTCATTAACACTTGGTGACTTTTAAATAGAATTTACTGTAAATGACATAAAGTCTGTTTGCTGCTACCCCATTATAAATGCACATCATAAAAGTCAATATATTTAGTGGGAAGTGAGATTTAAGTCTTGAATATTTCCTTAGGTAGGATTTACAATTCCTCTTAAGAAAAATTCTGAAGGATGAGATGGATTCCTAAGAAGAATCAATATAAAGTACATGCTCTGCTCCAAGTTGTAAATAGCACTGTTATTGAACCTGCTGAGTGTGGCTATTGCTTGTTAAAGCTTCTTAAGCCTCGGTCAACCAAGCATTAAAACCAATCTGGTTAGTTACACTTAAGTTATGTTCTGATTTCTTTGTATTGAGCTTCTTAAGGGAACAGCTAGGCCTGAAGTTTTTAGTATTATTCCAAGACTTAAGTCTGTTGTTTTAAAATTTAAGATAATGCAGAACTTTGGAAAACGTAGTTTTCATTTTGAAGCCTTTTTTCCGCAGTTCTTTTCAAGTGCTGTGGAAAATCAGCTTCCAAATGAAATCCGACTTTAAGTCCCTTTTCCAAAATTCCTCACAATCTTAAATACCTTAAGTCTAAGAACATGAGAAAATTTGCGGGATCACATTTTGTGTAGCTACACTTCAAAAACAGTCTTATCAACAGAAAAATGTGCCGAAGCAGCCAAGAGAAGCTCTAGTGCAGACTAGAAACTGTAGAAACTACACTACAGATCCTTCACGAGCAAAGTCAATGCCTCTGAAGTGCGCAATGGTCCAATTATTCCAGAGGCATCCTGCGCTAGGATTCATAGCTGTTTATAATTGTCCCAGAATGTAGCGAGCAGTGTATAATGTTGTTTTAATTTTCGCAAGTATAAGATGTTCCCTTTAGGGGGCATTGAAAGTACCTATGACGCCTAAAAAATTAAAAACATACATGATGTTCCATGGTTGTGAAATAATGGAACAAACAAAACAGCACAAGATTAGCCACTGAGAGCTTTCGTCTCGAGAGATTTATTTTTAAGGTTGGGTTTGTATATGTTCCAGATCAGCCACTGTGGAGATCAAATGAAACAAGCTACCCCTAAATTATCTGAACCACAACTCAATCTTGCCAGTAAGATTTATATATACAAGTGAATAAGACCAACTTTGACTCTTTGAGCTACTGTTAGCAGCTGCAAAAGCTTTCCCCTTTGACACTGGCTGGTGCTGTTGGGTGAGACCACTTGCACGTGTGTTACTCCCTTCAGATCAATTTCAAGACCTTCATCCTTACCTTAACCTTCATGTCCTAACACCTCCCTATTTCTGTGACCTTCTCCGAACTCACTCTTCTACTTTTCTATCAGGCTCAGTTGATAGCACTCTTGCCCCCGAGGGCTTGCCTGGAATGTGCGGCCGCCAAAACATCCTCCCAACGTGAAATATTAAATAATAATAATCCTTGCATTTGATAGAGTGTTTTATCACATCATTGAGACATCTCAAAGCACTTCACAGAATATACTGTAAAATGGACAGACTGTGTATTTTGTGGGAAAAACATAGCCCAGATTAATTCAAGTCAAGACTTAATTCTTGGCATCTGGTTGTGCTATGCTAAACTCCATGTGAACTGTGTAATTGTCAAATTTCTAAAACATTGAAGGTTTAAGAAACAATTACACATTTCTAAACAATAAATCAGTTTCCAAATACAGTAAACCTCCGGCTCTCCAGGTATCTGGAATTCATACCCAACTGGATTGGACCCGAAACTGATTTTTTGTTAAACAAATCCTGTAAACCCGCGAGCTTGTAGACTCCAGACAGTTACCCTCTCTCCTAGCCAGGGTATCCATTTTGACCCAGTTTGAATCCTGCAAGTAGAAGATAGCTTATTTTCTATCCTCTGCTCATGATATTCAAACAATTACAATTCTGGTATCAGCATCTTTCAGCACTGAAAAAAGCTGGTAAATTACGGAACCAGCATTGTAATTACATTGAGCTGGAAATGCTGGCTTGCCAGACCGGATCTCCTCCCCAAGAGTCTGTTTAGCCATGGTTTTAGTGTCCTGCAAATTAGATTACATTTATCTCTACAACAGTGTGCAATAGTACAGCAGGCGAACATCAATTGTGTATTGAGGCCAACATAGTTGAATCTGGCTGTCACTGCAATTGGAGCTATCAAAAGCAATAATCATGCGTAAACATTGTGGTGATTAGCTCACCTCCTCCTCCAGTTTGACCACCTTTGCCTGGGCGTTATTCAGAGCCTGGTCCAAGATTTCAATGTGCCTTCTCTGGTCCTCGTTGGCTAAGCGCAAAGCAGCTAGTTCCATTTCCAACTTTTCCTTCTCCTTCAAGTGCTCTTTGTCTGCATAAAAGAGGATAGAACAAGGGTTTCTCTGTCAGGCAGCTTTACAGTCAGTTGGGCCAAAGCCAGACTGCCTCAAGCAGGAAAGGAAAGCTGAAAGTTTTGGGTTACCTGCTGTTTTTCTTCTCGTTTAGAAAATGTGTCTGATAAAGCACTTAAATAGCAGGAAAATGAAAGGCCAATCTTTTGGAATGCCACAGATTAGAAATCTCTATTTTACTATATTGTTTATAGAAATTAGACTGCTTGTTAGGAAACAGTCAGAACAAGGAAAGAGGTTGGCAACAATCTCTGAAGAACTGAGAAAATTTATCACAGATGTGTTATATCTGGAATTATGATCCCACAAAAGTTTTCAGAGTTGGTAAATTGCTCTGGTGGAATTTTTAATAATAATAATCCTTGCATTTAATATAGCGCTTTATCACGTCTTCAAGACGTCTCAAAGCTCTTCACAGAATAAAGTGAATTGACTGTATTTTGTGGGCGAAACGCGGCAGCCAGTTGCGCACAGCAGTGTCCCGCAAGCAGTCGTGGATTGAAGTGACCAATTATTTTTTTTTAAGAAGGAATTATTACCCCCGAAAAAGCGTATGGAGTAAGGAAACCTGCCCAACAGTTCACCCAGCTGGGAATCGAACCAAGGTCTCTTGCTTGCGAGGCGAGTGCCCTGACCACTGAGCTACAGGACTACAATTTATGCAGGAGAATACCAGCTCCCATGGACAGCATAGTAGTCAGCTTTACTTTCCCTGCTCTCACTCTTTTTCTGGAATAGGAGAACAGGGGAGAGGTGATTAAATAGAGAGGTAATATAGTAGATATTGTCTAATCACTTTGATTCCTATTTTGAGTTTCTTTTCTCTTTTGCTTCTTTTTTGAGGTGAGGTCATTGCTGATCACGAGTATCATTAATTATTTTTTTTATGCGGGTAATGAGTTTCCCATCTTTGAAGGATTTCATTGGTAGAATATTCAAATCTATATGAATTAGAGATGACATATTTTAGCCTGCACTTTACCATCTACTGAAGCAAGATGGTACTGGGGGAATGTGGATTGTCAGAGGTGCTGTTCAGTATCAAATCATACTTGAGAAAGAGAACAAAGTTTCTCTTGATGTCCTGGCCAACAATCCTCCAGATGAATTGGTCATTGATTTCATGGATGGTTGTGGACACAGCTGTGTGCAAAATTGCTCCTGCTGTCGTGACTGTGTATTTGCATTTACTTACAAATACACAGTCACTATACTTTACTGTATTTTACTTGACCTGTGAAATGCTTTGAGATTTTTAAACATATTCATTCATTCATTATTATGGATGCTATAAAAATGCAAAGTCATTTGGCACAGCAAGTCTCTGCTGATGGTTTTCTCTAAATAAGTCAACAAGTCTATAATAATCCTTACATTTGACAGTCTAATTCCACAGTCTTACTCATTCCCCTTTCCCTTTAATATTAACCAGTTTCAAACATCAATCAAATTCCCAAAAGAATTTAAGGATTGTACATTTATGGATCATGGAACTAGAATCATTCAGTAATTGATTAAAGAAACCTTCAACTTAATTTCTAGCAAATGGCTGAAATAAAATTTGTATTGAAATGAAAACATGAATGGTTTAAGATCACGAATACTGTTAGATGAATGTGCCCACACCCCATTCTCAATACACTGTACTGTATTTCTTCCATTATCTTTTCAACCCATTACATTATAGAGTATCACAGCTTAATAAAAATAAAAAAACAAACAGCAGAGCATAGATTTTAATTAATTCATTCATTCATTACATTTAATTAGTTAATTATCAAATCACCTTGTTAAATCATAATTCCAGTCTAATGCAATCACAAGGGAAGATATTCGGCTACTTTTAGTCAATGTACTGAATCTTTTGATCTCCGTTTAAATAAAGAATCACATTATATTAAAAGTGAATAGAGTAGAATACTTCTTCCCCCCAGCTCAGAGTTGTGTTAATTGGCTTCACAGGAGGTTCGAGTCTAAACTGCAAAGGTACTGTCTGAATTCATGTTCTGTTGGCCTCAAACCAGTTTTTAATGGGTCCAAGTCAGAAAATTCCTCACAATTCAGCATAATTTAGCATTAAATTGGCAATTTCATCCAAGGAGAAACCAAAGTGAAGAGCAGTATGAGAAATAAAAATGAACTATACAGGATTCTCTTTGAAGTGAGAATTAAGGCATGTTCTTGAAGCAGTTACTAAGAGCTTTACTCTGAATCGGTTCATGCTATATTTAGATCTGGGAGTGCTCGATGATGACACTGGGTAATAAAGTGTTCCATTACTCAACATTGAAATCACTCAACTTGAGGACAAAAAACAATCAGCAAAAATGTTTATTATACATTTCTGAATCTGAAGTTTCCTTAATCATATTGGATTATTTCTTAGTCTTAAAAAATTGCATTATGACTTGCTGAATGGCATACATGCAAACTTGATTAAGGACATTCAAACCCGAACAATCATTTACTTCAGCAAGTCTGCAGCAATAATAATAATATAATCCTTGCATTTGATATAGTGCCTTATCACATTGTCGAGACGTCTCAAAGAGCTTTACAAATTTTACTGAGTGGTAGTGACTGTATTTTGTGGGTTATTCAGTAGCCAATATGCCACAAACAGCCATGAAGTGAGTGACCAACTTTATAGGGATAAACGGGTCATTCTCGAATTGGCAGGATGTGACTAGTGGAGTGCCACAAGGATCAGTGCTTGGACCTCAGCTATTTACAATTTACATCAATGATCTAGATGAGGACATTGAATGTAACGTATCTAAATTCACGGATGACACTAAACTAAGTGGGAGAGTAAGCTCTGAGGATGATGCAAAAAGATAGCAACGGGATACAGATAGGCTGGGGGAGTGGGCGAGTAGGTGGCAGATGGAATTTAATGTGGGGAAGTGTGAAGTTATTCACCTAGGTAGCAAAAATAGAAAAACAGATTATTTTCTAGAGGGGGAGAGATTAGATAGTGTTAGTGTTCAGAGGGATTTGGGTGTCCTTGGACACCAGTCTCAAAATGTTAGTTTGGGCAGGTGCAGCAAGCAACTAAGAAGGCGAACGGCATGTTAGAGTTCATTGCAAAAAGTTTAGAGTACAAGAGTAGGGAAGTCTTGCTGCAACTGTATAGGGCCTTGGTGAGACCGCACCTAGAGTATTGTGTGCAGTTATGGTCTCCTTATTTAAAAACGGGCATACTTGCCGCAGAGGGGGTGCAGCGTAGCTTCACTAGGTTAGTTCCTGGGATGAGGGGACTGACCTATGAGGATAGGCTGAATAAACTAGGGCTATATTCTCTAGAGTACAGAAGAATTAGGGGAGATCTTATTGAAACATATAAGATTCTTACAGGGCTGGATGAAGTAGACACTGAGGGTCTGTTTCCCCTGGTAGGAGAACCTATAACCAGGGATCATGGTCTTAAAATTAAGGGTCAGCCTTTTAGAACAGAGTTGAGGAAACAGTTCTTCACTCAGAGGGTAGTGAATTTATGGAATCATCTTCAAGGCTGAGACTGATAGATTTTTAAAAATAGAGGGATTAGGGGATATGGGGATAGGGCAGGTAATTAGAGTTAGGTATGAAGATCAGCCATGATCTTATCGAATGGTGGGGCAGGCTCGAAGGGCCGAATGGCCTAATCCTGCTCCTAATTCTTATGTTCTTATGTTCTTATTTGTTGGCCAGGAGCCAAGAGAAACCTCCTTATATTTTCTAGTGCAATAGAACATCCAACTGTCCAGGCAGACAGAACCTCGATTTAACATCTCATCCGAAGGACAGTTCCTCTGACAATGCAGCACACCCCCAGCAATGCACTGAATTGCCAGTTTAGTGCTGGGGGTGTACTGCTTTTTCTGACTTCAAAGCAAGAGCACAATCTAATGAGCCAAGCAATGTACCTAGTCCATGTAAAGCGCAAGTAATGAGCTCTGTCTGTACTGGCAATGAACTAAGAACAGTAAACAACTGAAAAACTCAACCTATCGATTTGTCCTTCAGATTGTTCTAACCTCAATGCTCCATTACAATGTATGTCACATTACAATTGGTCACTTCAATTCACGACTGTTGTGGGACACTGCTGAGCGCAATTGGCTGCCGTGTTTTGCGCACAAAATATACAGACAATTCACTTTACAGTATATGAAAAGCTTTGAGATATCTCAAAGACGTGATAAGGCGCTATATCAAATGCAAGGATTATTATTATGTGACCTTCCCTTATTACTTTACTAAAAAAAATTATTCTGTCATACCTCATCTCCAAGTTCACATGAACATGATATAAATTAACCTTTGTTGATAAGAATACCAAAAACATCAGCTGCAAAGCTACTGACACAGGGTCACACTAAATGTGCTGTTATAGTGAATAATCCCATTGTCCCAGAGTAATGTTTAACATCTATCGTAATGTGAACCCAACCAAAAGCTGGTAATTTACTGATCTGTTGATGACCATTAGTCACCTGTTAATAGATGACCTGAAAACAACCCTGCAGCCTTCCTCTGGACCCAATTTCAAGGCATTTTAGGTTGTCAAAATATCCACTCATTAATCTTTGGAGTAAATTCTATGAAGAGCATTGAGACGTCCTCCGATTTGAAAGGTGTTATATAAATGCAAGGATTATTATTAATTATTATTAATTCTGAATGACTGGTATCACTGGCTAGGCCATCTGTAATTCAAATCGTTGAATGTATTTAATTTACGCCACTGGGAGATTAGAGCTGTGTTTGATTTCAATGTAAGAAAAGAGACTAGCGCATTGCAGTTCATTAGATAAAACGTACACATCAGCACCAATGAAACAGGAAAAACTTTGCTTAAATGCCTCATGTTATTATTGTTTAGAAATTATGATTAATGTCAATTACATCATGATTTAACATACAACATGGCTCAGACCTTCTGGATAATACCCTTAAATAGTTTTTGAAACAGAAA